ATTTCAGTTTGCAATGCTCCTAGCCCACTGCCTTCTTGGGGGGTCCAGCCTCTACCCATGGGACCTCAAGTCACTGAGGTCAGGATGAATGACCTTCCACTGTGCTTGACCAACAAGGACCTTTGCCTCCCTACAACCAGGGGTGCTCTCCTTGTGCAGCCCAGTTGACTCCTGAGTCAGTGTAGGCTGAAAAGGACAAGGCCTACTCTTACTTCACACCTTCATTGGACGTCCACACATGGGTGTTTCTGAGGAGGACCTGGAGATGGCCTTGAACATCACTTCATGACACTGACAGGCCCAGGAGACCTCACTACACATCTATCCCATCAAGTCCCCAAGAGAGCCAGAACCTCAGCCCAGAATCAAAAATGTCAAAGCTAGAATTAGCAAAATACTACAACTTCACAGTCTTGGGTGAGAACAAGCAGAGGACAGAACTCATAGTCCCAGGATACCATGCACTCCATCACAATAGGTCTATACAGGGTTCCATGTACAGAATAGGGGTGCTGCCCTTCTTGGAGGAGGACATAGAACTGCAGTAGGCATACAGGTACCTCCCAAAAGATGAGGTGGGGCCGTGCAGGATGCAGGAGTGGCAGGCGCAACAGGTTACAACCATAATGCCAGGGTGGCTGACATAGAGCTAAGGTCTTTCGTTGGGGTAGCTGATGGGGCCTGTGTGGACACTGCGTTCACAGCAAGTCTGACTGTACAAAGGGGGAAGTTAAAACAAAACAAAACAAACAAAAAAACAAATGGGTAAGTTTAGTACATAGGTAATGTGATCCAAGGGGAGATAAACTAGCACATACATTCGTTCAGTTGTGGGAGGCTTGACAGGCATGACACAAAAATCAAACAAACTAGGGAAGGCTCCAGTTTAAATTAAAAGGGAACATTTTACACAACACCTTGAAGATGCAAAACCCTGGACCTCCTCACTCAACAAAGAAAAGGTTAAATCCACTCTAAACTGATTTACAACAGGGTTTGACCAGAGGGTAACTTGAGTCCACACAGCTACAACTCCTGGCTGTAACCCAAACACTTGCCTGGAAAGTATTTCTCTCATCTCTGCATGCTCCTGGCTTCTCAGATGTCCAGTGCTGTGTCTGGACACATGGGAGGGAGGAGAGTAAGACAGAGACTCCTTTTTGTTTATATAAATTAAGTCATTTTTGTCAATTTTGAAAAACTATCAACAAGCAGCACCAATAAATTACAGGATGAACATAGCTTCCTATATATTCAAAGAGTGTAGCTCCTTGATTAATTTTGTCTGACAAAGGTTATTTGGAAACCTTCCCTATATATATACTACACTGTTACACTATGCTAGCCTGGAGACGCAACGTTATTTTCTAGTATAAAATTTATATGATCAATGTAGCTAAATGGATATTACTGCTCCTTAAATGGGCTAATAATTTAAAAAATTAGTATCTTGGTGCAAATCAGATTCACAAGAAAACATCATCAAGAGTCAACTTGCCCAGATGAGTTCCATCTGGGGTACCCCCTGAGGACAGGCCCAGCATAATGTCAGGTCCACAGTCACGTGAAACTGAGCTCCGGCATCCGAAGAACAAACATGTGGTTATCTGCTGCCATACTATTAGCTCTTGAAGGGAAGAGGAAGTGCTCAACTTCTTTTAGGCTCAGGTTACCATAAGCAAATTGTTTTCAGACAACATTTAATTACTACTTCTCAATTATCTTAGAAATTCCTGGTCTATTGGCACAAACTTCAAGCAAGGCTAAGTAATTTAGAAAACAGTTTTGTACCTCATCTTTAATCACTCCATACAGTTTAAGACAACATGCTTTTGTTTTTATGTTTAAGGAAAATTAAGTGAAAAGTTGTGATTTTGTTTTCAACACAGTGAAAAGCACATTCTAAACAGGTACTGCTCATATACATATCAACACATACTGATTTTTGTTGTTGCTTTAAATTCCGTAGACATTATTATAAAATGGCAATTTAAAAACTGAATTTCAGAAGGATTCTTTCAACCCTGAGATCTTTTCACTCATCGTGTTTCAACAAGTTAGGTTATGATATACTGCAGAACACGGCCTATAAGAGAAAAAAAGAGAAAATAGAACCCCTTGACCACTGACACATTAATGCCTAAAAGTTAAGTTCTGAGGTATCATCAGCAGATTCTTGGTCCACATCTTCGATTACAACACCCTGGAATCTCCAGTGTACTAAGAGACAGCTTCAGGATGGGGCTGGTCACCAGAAAGACCAAGCCCTAGAGAGAGGGTTGGAATCTCCTGCCCAGCTTATCCTCTAACCTTCAGGAAAGGGGGGTGGGTGGTTAGGAATTGAGCTAGTACACTGATGACCAAGATTTAATCACATCTATGTAATGGGGCCTCCATAAAACCCAACAGTAGGTTCAGAGCACTTCAGAGGGACACATCCTAACTCCATGTGTATGGAAGGTCCTGTGCTCATGACCATTAGGGACTGGGGCTACTTCTTCTGAGACTTCCCTATGTTTTGAATTTTTCATCTTCTTAACAATTTACGCATCCTTCTCCCTTACTGAACGGTTCACCTTGAGTATTCTGAAAGCACTCACTCCTACTGCTGCTATTTTCATCCGGGCTCTCCTAGTCTTGCAACATGCACAAAGCCTAAGAATCCTAAGTGAGCCTATGGGTCACCAGATTCCTTCTTGTCTCCTTCACTTTGGGATTTTGGTTCTTTTCCTCAATTCCAGCTACTTCAGCAGCCTCAACTCCAAGCAGGTCTCCTGAGCCCAGAAACATACAACCTCTACTGCCACTTAGGCACATCTGGAGATGCCCCCAAGGACAGGACCAGGACAGACATAGGTTGTGGGGGTCGCTCCACACATGCTTCCTTTGTGTGCTTACAGCTTTTGGCAGTTATCTTCAGCAGGGTCTCGTGCTTGACAGGCAGGCACTGTACCAGTGAGCTACATCTCCAGCCCAATAAGGTTTTAAAAAATATTTTTACATATTTTTAAAAATATGTAAAATTTATCTCTAGGTTCATTTAATTTACAGTCGTCCCCCCGTCCCCCCCCCCCCCCCGTGCTCCAGGGGAGGAAGGCTCTGTAGGGATCCATTATGAAAACTATTTCAAGAAAAATTTTACGGTGAGTCTATACACAATTTGATGGATACTACCTAAAAACATTTGTACCAAAGATGTTAACTACAAAGAAAAATACTTAACTTTCCATATTATTCAAAGCAGAATGAAGAGTACAATTGGACAGAACCACTGAAGCATGGATGCCAAGGTAGGCATCTCTCTTAAAGTTGTTGATACCCTATTGGAATACTTTAATTTACAGTAAACATTTGCAGAAGGGGCAAGGCACAAAAAATGCAAAAACTCAACAGAAAAAAGGGTAAGTTAAACATATACAAAGACAATTCACAAATGTGCAATCAAGTAGCTAACCCACATCCACACAGGCTGGCCCCTGAGAGCCTCTTGTCACCCATTAGTCTGGCAAGACCCATAGCTCTGAAGAAGCATGCTCTGCCCATGATCCAGCCCACACATTTCTGCAGGACAGTTCTATCCTCTGGTGGCAGAGCAAACTGCAGCCCATTTTTGGAAAATACTAATACCATCTATTAAAGTTAAAAATATACATGACCTGGGTCCAGGGATTTAAGTTCAGTGGTTCTGCCACCTGCCTCGCAAGCACAAGGTCCCGAGTTTGATCCCCAGTACCAAAAAAAAAAAAAATGATCTTTACCTCAGCAATCTCACTTCAGAAAGTCATTCTACAGGAATACAAGCAGCAGCACACAGTCATAATCCGAATAAATAGATAACTAAACATTACATTATTGGAAGAAAACAGAAGTAATGATGATGCTTGGTAGTTTGAAATCATAGCTGCATTCTGGGATTGGTCAAAGTCATGTCCATGTCCAGAAAGAGGGGAGAGCCATCCTGCCCGAGTCTTGAACTTTTCTGTTTATGCCAACCCTGGCTCACACCACTTGTGCAGGGTCACACAGGCCAGAGCTTATGGACATGGTCTGAGTTCTTGCCCAGCTCTTAAAGACACTGGGAAACATGCCAGGGCCCACTTGTAGCCCAGGGCAGAGCTAATGCTACTTCAGCCTCTGGGTTGCTGTGTGTGGGCAACTCCCAGGGAAGGCATGGATGCTCTCAGAAAGGAAAAAGGGAATGGACAGTTGACCACAGGCCAACCACGGTAATTTTTCTATAGCATTAATACTCACTGCATGAAACCACCAGGCTCCTCATTTAAGCCCGCAGGATGTCCTTTGGCTATGCATGTGGTGGTGAGCAGGGCCTCAACTCAGGTGGACAACTAACTTGAGCTCATGCAGAGGAGGAAGGAAGGGCAGACATGGCTGCTCAGGAAGGACCCCTCTCTTGTAGGGCAGCACTGATTCTGCCACCAAATGCCTTCTGATCCTGTCATGTCTTGCATCCTACGTACTCCCTGAAAAAAGTGTCACTACGTCTCCCCTACAAGTTGCTCTGAATGTGTGGGACCACAGCGAGATGGCCCAGGACAACATGCCAAGACTTGGATGGCATGGCAGGGAGGGTCAGCACAGCCCTATGGGGCTGTCTTCTTCTGGGCACCCCAGAACTGTCTCTCTCTGGACCACCCTGATGGCATCTGGGGGAGCTGAGGGCTTGTGCACGATGCGCCACAGACTAAATCAATGATTTCTCTACTTTTAGTTTTGGAACTCAACACAAGATAGAAGGCTAACCAAAAGAGAATCAGTAAGTGGGAGAGTGTTTCCACAAACTGGGAGTCATTGTTTCAGCCAGGCTGCTCGACATGAATTCAGGACTAAGCAGAGCCTTTAATGCTACATGTCCTCACTGCAGGTACCTAAACAGGTACCTAAGCAGGTACCCCTCAACAGGATGAGACAACTTAAAACTGAAAACAACTTCAGATGCCGGCTGCTGCCAGCAAAGGAAGCTCTCTGGTGGCACAATATACCTGAAGGAGGTGGGCTCCCTGTGGACAGACAGGGAACTGGGGGGCCCTGGCACACCCATTCTGATGAGCTTTCCAGTGTTGGAATCATAGATTCGGACCTCAGGGCCAGGCTGGGCCTTGGGATGGATGGGTGTCGGGTGGAGTAAGGCTGTTGGAATCACGTTCTGCCTGTCAGGAAAAGCTGCTGGGCTGTTCTCCCTGTTGGATGGAGAAAGCAAGGGTCATGAGAATGGCACTGGGAACAATGTGGGGTGCGGGGACACTGATAGGGATACGGGGGCAGGGATATAGGGAAAACTGGATTTAGGAACGCAGGGACACCAGGACAAAGACGGGAGGATGTGCTCAGGACAACCAGTGACTGTCATTGCCCAAGTACATCAGCCAAAAGCTCCCTCAGTTCCTGACTGAGCTGCACAGATGGAAAAAGGGCACTTCCAAATACCAGGACAGGACAATGCACAGAGTAACACAATGGTGCACAATGCAGAGAAACAGTGATTTCTCAATTACCAGCACCTACCAAACCTGCTGAGCAGAGCTGGACCTCCCTGGGAACTTGCCTCCCACTGGGCTGAGGCACTCACCTCTGCTGAATGCTTCCTTTCTTTTATCCTCAGTTACTCTGACATCTACCTGAGCCTAACCCTGATACAACAGCCAGATTGCTAACAAAGACCAGAGCTATTCTCAACAAAGATAAGTATTCCTATGCTTTTTACTTTCTCAACATATCTCTCTCCTCAATAATACATAAAAGATAGGAATTTCCATTTTTTTCTCCTACACCTTCTCCTTTGAGTACATAATTTTGCACATTTACCCCAAAGCTTCTACCCTACCACCCTCTCTTTGTTCTAAGATCTGTAATAACCTCTCTCTTTGTCCTGGGATCTTTCATTCATGTAATATTCCCCAGTGCTAAAAAACCATGCAAACTAAGATTCATTATTAAGAGCCATACTATATTTTGTTGAAATAAAGAAAAATACAGTCCTCCATTTTCTCAGGTGTTAATGGCACATGTACACTGTAAGCTCATCTTTGATTTTACAGGCAGTCACAAGGTCAGTTTGCTGAGGGAAAGGGGGAACAGCAGGGTGCCTAGAATGTACCATGCCCGCATGAGTACGAAGCCTTGGTGGCTAGGTGGTATGGATCCCATATAGACACCCTAGGCCTCAGTTTCCCATAAAGCAGGGCTGTCAAGGAAAGGAAATGGAGCACATACATGAAGGCCTGCCTGCTGTGGTCAGGGCCCCAAAGGACCCATCATCACAACCAGATGCCTACTCATGCCAGGGTGGCTCAGAGAGCTGGAGCCACCCAGGGAGGAAGCACTGTGGCATAGACAAGGACCACACAGCATGGATCTGAGGGCAGAGGCTCCCACCTGTGTGCCCGGGTGTCGTCATCAGTGAGGGGGAAGAGCTGCTCCTCCACCTTGTCCCAGCGCTCCAGGCAGCTCCACAGCCAGTCGGGGCTGACCACATGCAAGTGCCTGCACTCCTGTGCCTGGCGCACCTTCTCTGTGCCTGCAGAGACCACATGTCAGACTGCTCCTGCACCAGGGGAGGGGGCGCCCAAGACACAGAGCCGGGGCAGACAGGGAGGGGGCTCCAGGGAGCTGTGGGGGGGCCATGCGCCACCCTTCAGCACAGAGCCAAGAGGTCAGGTTCCCAGAGTATACCTACTTTCATTGCCATCTTCAGGGACCAAAACCCACCAGTGTGATTTCTGTACCTAATCACTTGCCATTATTTTAAATTGTCCCTGTAGATACCACTCGAACCCCACCCACCAGGGCTGTCTCTCACCTGGACCCCAAGCCACTTTGTAGCTGGATCCATCAGCAGGTCCTGCCAATTCTTCTTCAACTGACTTACACCTGTCCTGTTCCCTCCAGCCCCATTGTACCACAGGACCTGTGGGTTTTGTGGCCCTACTTCTGCCCCTGGCCTGGCCGTGTCCTCCACTCCTCACCAGTTTCACCTTCTGCCCTTTCTGTACACCCTCAGGGACCTGAGGTGATAACTTTCCCTAGCTCCCTAGCCCCCAGGTGAGCTCTTTTCCACTTACCTCCTTCCTGGTAGCTCCCTGTTTAGGCTCCAGCTGACCCTGCCCTGTCACAGGATCTTGAAATACACACTCTGTACCCTTCACAGTGATCCCTGTGACATGAAGTGCCCAGTCATACCCTGGTCAGCTAAGTCTTTGGGAGAGTCATTTTCCTTCAGAGGCACAATCCCTCCACAGTGAGAGGAAGCTATGTCCTAGCTATCTCATGTAAGATCATGAACACAAAAGCAAAAAGAAATGACAGCAACTCTTGTCTTTGTCACCAAGCAGGTGTCCACAACCTTCAGCACCAGGCAAGGTGAGAAGAGGGTCAGTACTGGGTAGTTGCTGGACTTCAGAGGTATACACGAAAGTGACTCCAGGAGATACCTCGCCTGTACTGTCTCCATGTTCAGGGCAGAAAGTACCTCACGGTGGGGGGTTGGGGGGGTGGGGTGGCTGTGGAGAGCGAAGGGTTGAAACAACCCTGAAAGACTCCTAAGCCCCTTGAGATTCTTGAGTCAGATAAGATCATAATGAGGAAGGATATGAAACTGGTACAAAAACAAAGATGTTGACTGTCTGCTAGACAAGAAAGCAACATTCCCCGAATTGTAAAGATATGTTTGACCTTTTCTTTGTAAAAATAATTAGTCACAAGATCATGAGGGGAGGAGGGGAGGGAGGCTGTGGGTAATGAAGGAGGATATATAAAAGGCTCAATAAAGTGGGAAGGAGAAGGCCCTTCCTCTCCTCTCCTTTTCTTTCCTCTCGAATTGGTGTTGTCTGTCTTAATCCTCAACCCTCTCCTTGGGTACTGTTTGACTAGTGACGGCTGGCTCCGTCAGGTGGCTGAAAGATTGGGTTTTCTCCTGAGACAGAGGATTTGGCTGGGCTCAAAGCGCCTGCTTCTGACCTTGTAGTACACCTCAAGATGGATCCCTTCCAGTGCCCTGTATTCAAATTACCCTTTATTCAAATGCTTTACTGATTATGTGACATAGACTGGAAGCCCAGAGTCACCCAAGACTATGTTGGCCCTCACTGAGACTGGCCAAGAGATTACTTACCTGACACTACTACGCTGATGATCCTGGAGGTCAAAGCAAATATTTGGAAGCCCTAATTCATTAACTGTAATCACAGGAGAAATAACAGGGCAAACAGAACCTCAAGTGGATGGGGAATCTTTATCCGGGAAAAATTAAAATTGCTTATGAGGAGCATTTTTTAAAAATAATGATTTTTGGGGGGATCAGACTCAGGACCTTGCACTTTTGAGGCAGGCAATGGCACCACTGAGCTAAATCCCCCAACCAGTAATGAATTTTTTTAAGCAACTGGGAACAATCATTCCTTCAAGGCTCACCCATTACTGAAGCATTGTTTTACTTGACAGATAACAGACACACGAGGATTTTACTGAAAGAGGTGACCGACTATACCCTCTGCTTTTCTATCTATAGCAAATTAATTCTTTTTACTCCGGTTGAAATGCTGCATTCGCTTTTCTTTTTTTTGTACTAGGGATCGAACTCAGGACCTTGCACTTGTGAAGTTGGCGGTGGAACCACTGAGCTAAATCCCCAGCCCTGCATTTGCTTTTCTAACTCAGAGGGTTAGTCCATCTTTTACCTGCCAAACTGAGGCCCTGACTACTCTTCAATCTTAATTTCTCCAGTATAACACTAACACTGAGTCTCCTGGTCCATCTGAAACTCCTGGAAAAGGTTCTAACCCAAGACAGCAAGTGGAAGTGAACACATATGTGCACTCAATAAGCACACATGAGGCATATACAACACACATGGACCAAGAATTTCACCAAAAGATAGTCATCAATCTATTCTTAAAAGGCCATGGTTCTAGTCTCAAGGACAGGGACCACTGCTGGTCATCTGTGTTCCTAACGACAAAGGCACAGAAGGGGGGTTACTTACCAGCCCGTGCTGCGATCACGTGGGTAGCCCTGTCAGGGGCATCAGGGCTCAGCACCAGTTGGGTCAGGACCTTGGCACCTAGGGCTGTGGCATGGTAGTGCTCCCGAGTCTTCTCTACTGGGAAGTTCGTTGGGTGTAGGCCACTGAATATCACAGTCACGCCTGCCAGCACCTTACTCTTGAGCTCAGGAACTATCTTCCGTATATCGGGAGCTTCCTCGAGCTCCTTGTTGAGGTACCTGTCATATTTTGTGTAATAATCAGTGTGCACACGCACGAGGATCTCCTCAAGGTGTACCAGGTGGTCATCGTCGTCTGTGTCCTCCTCTTCCTCCTCTACGCTCTGGTCCAAGGACTCGCCTGCAGTGATGCCTGACTGCTCACTGTTCTGTGACTCCGTCTCGGCCTCCTTCTTGTCCACACAGCCGTTGCCCAGGCCACAGAGGCCATCCCGCTCACCCTCCTCCTGCACGTCCAGGTCTGGCCCTTTGTCGTGCGCAGGGACTCCAGCCCCAGACTCTCCGAGGGGCCCAGCTCCTGCAAGTTTTCCTCTGCTCATATCAGGGGTGCCTCCCTGCTGAGGTATTCTTGTCCCATCTGGGGTGGCTGGAGCCTTCTCCCGGGCTCTCTTCTCCTTACTCTCCCCATCAGAGGTGGAAGAGGACTTCTGACCTTCTGACTCACTACTCTCACTGTCACTGGACAAGTCGAAATCCAAATCTGTGCCAGAGGTCCCCTGAGGGGGCTGTGCCCCTGGTGAGCTCTCACCACCCTGTTCACAAGTCGCCTGGGACTCGGGAATATCTGCCAGCACACAACTGCTGGGGCTGATGGAGGAGGGGGCCCGGGCAGGGGGCCAGGAGTCCCTCTCATCCGCCTTATCAGAAGCCCCTGGCACAACCTCACCACCATTTAGTTCCCGAGTGGGTTTCCCAAGGCCATTGTTCTGCTCCACCCCAGGAATGTGTCTGCCTTCCTCGGGGTCTTTCACAGATGGAACTTGTTCCAAGACATCGGCATCTTTAGAAGAATGATTTACTAAACATGTATACAAAAGAAAAAGTTACTGTTACCTAATGTTAAACGACTTACAAAACTACAGCAACATAGTTCTCCACTAAAGTTTGCATTACTCATCCTCTAAACTGGCCTTGGGAAACTTGACGCCCAGACAGTAAGCACCCTTTGCTTTTACAACCCCGGCAGGCTGACTTGCCAAGTTTGTCCAGGTGATGTTTCCATCACACTTTTGCAAGAAGGCCCTTGGGCCCTATTTTTTCCTTGCCTTGACATCTAAGTTCCATTTTAGTGACTGCAGCAGTAATTGTTTGGCTCAAAATATTTTGTTTTTAAACTAAAGATTATCAGAAACAAAACGAAAACTTTTAAATTTCCCTGGGTCAGACTTGGGCTCATGTTTGCCTGACAGATGCATACTTCCCTACAGGCTCCAGGCAGGCACAGCCCAAGTCCCTGTGTGTCGGGAGCAATGCTACATAATTTTAGGGAAAAATCATTTGGTTAGCCTAGTTCTCCTGCCTACAGCCGAGCTATGGAATTCTGAGACATAACTCCACTTTGGCCTCCGGTCACAACTGAGACCTCAATGACTCCGCGATGCCTTGATGCTCCAGGACAAGAAACATCCTGGGAGCTAAAAACATCCTGGGAGGAACAAACATCTACTCAGTTTCTCGTTGTTCTTGGATTGTTACATCTTATTTACGCAGGATGTAAGGAACTCTCTGCAAGTCATTTGTTCCATTTGTTTTTCCCGATGTACGGTGAGCTGGAGGCTTTCTTTGATGCCCAGAACAGCACTGATCAAAACTAAAGTTCAGCTTCTTCTCAGTCTCATTTGTCTACCTTTCCTGTAATTCGCCGTGTGCTGCCGTGGCTCGCAGGAGACCAGGACTCACTGCAGAGGTTCTAGTAACGTCCCCTTCCCCTGTCCCCTACACCTGTGTTCTGAGGACAATTCTTAGAAAAGGAGCCATTGCATTTCACACTGAGCTCCCAACTAAGGAAGGAGGCAGCCCATTCCTGCGGTTGTGGCTGTTTAAGGAAAACGGGAATGAAATGTGGAATTCATGCGCATTTAGCCTTTCAGTATTAAATAAACCCAACTAAGTTTAAGTACAAATAAACAAAATGAATCTTGAATTTATGACAGCCAAAACAGATACAAGAAATAAAAGCTAAACATTGAATCAAAACACTAATTATTTCTTTTTCAATTGTTAGAAACAAGATCACCCACCTTTCTTTCTCATCTGAGATTCCCGGGACCCAGGGGGTGCGTTCATATCACCTGTGCCTGGGAAGTACACATATTTCTTCACAGTTATTAGGTTGGGGGCAAACTTCCAGACATCCTCTCGGTCATCAATAATGCAAACCATTGAGTCTCCACAAGGAAAGAGATTTCTAAAAGTAAAAATGTGCAATTTATACAAGATGTTAATCACAATATTGTAATAATCTTTTATTTGTCGAAGCAGAATAGTTTAGGAGTCTCATACACATGTATTGAGGAGTGAGCAAATTCATCAGAAAGATGCAAACTATAATGAAGGGCTTTTATTTAGCTCATATTTAAACTCTTTCAGAGAGGAACATTAAAATAATTATACTTCTCTCCATTATTTCTGATTCTCCTTAAAAAAAGGTCAGCAAACTTTTTCTGAGTCAGATAATAAATATTTTAGGATTTGTCAGCCACAGAGTCATAATATCCCTATGAAATCTTGTGAACAAATGGGTCTGGTCAAGTTCAATAATACTTTATTTACAAACACACCCAGACAGTCCAAAGGCCAGGAAAACAGGTCCAACTGCATAGCTGGCACTTCCTGAGTGGAAGTATAGCTGTATCTGTGTGCAAGCCACAGCACCTATCGGCTGTGCTTCTCTGAGACTGTTCTCTTTCAAGCTGAACATTCTTATCTTCAAGTAGTTTTCCCCACTAATAAAATCAGTAACACTATCTCTTCTTTTGCCTTCATTCATCTGCTCACTCTGATTCTAACTAGTTAAGAGGTCTATTTCTGAAATAAATACCTCAGATTCTCTTCTTAGTTAATGTATTTTTTTTTGGTACCAGGGATCGAACTTGGGTCCTGGTGGTTGCAGGGCAGGCGGTGGAACCACTGAGCTAAATCCCCAGCCCTCTTCTTAGTTAATATTAACTTGCACAGGTCTCAAAACTCTGTGGACCCCCAATCTAGAAAAACGAAACTTTAGAAGAGAGTGCCTGCATGAGCTAAAAACCAATTCAAAGCTGCTGTTGCCCAAGTCTTGTTACGAATTAGTACCATGAAAATATGTTGTACTTGATACAATGTGAGCATCATGGTGACAGCTCTTTCTCAGTGGAAACTGGGAGATTCTTTGTATAGAGTGAGTAAGAAATTAGAGGATATAAAACAGCCCTTCAAGGAGGAGAGGGGAAGAGTCAGTCTTGTCATAAAAACTTAGACTACATACTAGGAAGGGGAAGAGAGCTGATGGAAAGGAAGAAGTAGAAACAGCCAGAAATATGGACTGTATGATCATTTAATTTAGGATTTTTATAAATTAGTAGGATGAACAGCATGTGAGCTCAGAAATTATGCTAGTGCTGGTGTCTTTACATTTAAACTCTAGGCTCAGAAACAGCTGAGCTTAGGTGCAGCCAAGCTCTGGCTCAGTCAATATGGCTGTAATACTGCTTCAAACATGTCAAAAGCCCCCTCCCTAGGCCACTCTAGCCTGGGTTTCAGCTCCAAGAGTGTAGTCCCCAAGTCGGCCGGAGCCCCAGGTATTCTATACATATTTAAAAGAAAGAAGGCAACGACTTTACAACTGGACTATTGTGGGAGATTCACTCATGCTCTTTGCCTCTGCCTTTGAGTTTCAACAAGAGGCCGCTGAAATCTAAGGCCTCACTGCCCAGGCCTGATTGGTGAAGTTAAAGGTGCAGAAGGTAAAACAGATGCAAAGGCAAGTGCCACTGTGGAAGCTGTGCTGTCCACACAAGCTTGGGCAGGATGAGTACACCACCTCCCCTGGCCGAAGAAACATTGGGAGAAGAGCTTTGTGAGTGCTTGGGCAGGGTTGAGGGGGTAGGGAGGGCATGGAGTACAGATGGATAACCCACTGGTTTGAGGTCTAAGCACCTGGAGCATGAACCATGTAGGAGGAGAGAGTCTGGGTTAGAAAAAAAGCTTTCTATATATTAACTAAATTTTGATGGTGCTGGGGATTGAACCTGAGGCTTCATATGTAGTAGGCAGAAAGACAAAATTTTTAAGTATACTGAGAGTAGCAGTGAAAACTAGAGAGGCAAGGTCAAATTCTTAGAAAACGTTATATACAGAATTATCACTCTAATTCTCAAAATGCAATTTTTGGAGTGGGAAGTAAACAGTGAACTGTCTTAGTGATGAACTCATGAACATACTTAAGGTTTCCTGTTTTAGAAAACGGGTCAATACATTCATCCCGTGATAATATTCGATGAGAAAAAAGCTTCTTTTCAGGGTCTAAAAAGCCTGTAAAAAGAAAACAGAATAAAGATTGTACCTCTGAGATGCATTATGACCACCAAGTACACAGTTCCACTGCCACTGTTTCTGCACAGCAGCAGACCTGTGCACAACTCTCATGCACACCTCATGCCCTTTCCAGCAAAGACCCACTCACTTAGGCTTTTTATCTTTACTGCTGCTTGGAACTTGTCAAACTGAATCACAGTTATGTCTATGATGACCTTAATTTGAAACAATTTGTAATAGGCTGAATTGCCTAAGCTAAACAGCTAAAATAAAATTATACAAGGCACTTATTCAATAGAGCAAGAAAATCATCATTCTGTCTCAGTAAATGATACCCGTGATTCTTCACTTTACATGGACTGGGTGTTATATTGCATTAGTTTGCATCATGCCCAATACAACCTTCCCTAACATGAGGTTGGTGGTACACTGATCTTAGATGTAATTTAAGACATTTAATAAGTTAACAGATAAAACATTATGAAGGCTTTTTTTCCCCCTCAAACTCATTTCCCCTTATCTGCAGGGGATATATGGTTCCAGGACCCTGTGTGGATGCCTAAACCCTTAAACCGTACATATACCATGTTTCTTCCTAAACACACTTACCTATTCTAATGTTTAACTTATAAATTAGGCACTGTTAAGATAAACAATGGCAATAATAAAATCAAACTGTAACAATATACTGTAATAAAATAGGTGATTATGGTCTTTCTCAAAATATCTTATTATAGCCAGGCATGGTGGCACACACCTGAAATCCCAGCACTGAGAGGTTTGGGCAGGAGGAGCACAAGTTCAAGCCCAACCTGGCAGTTTAGCAAGACACTGTCTTAAATTCAAAAAGAGTACTGGGAATGGAGCTCAGTGTAAAGGCCCTAGGTTCAATCCCCATTACCACAAAACAAAACAAGGCCAAACCCCACCCCCCTCATTCTGTACTATTCTCCCTTCTTCTGATGATGATGAGGAGGAGGAGGATGAGATGACACTGAAAGGGAGCACTTTTAGCTTTTCTCTGGCATATCTGATTGCCACTACTTTTACTTTTGGGTCAATCTCGGTGATCCAAGACACAGGGTGGGAAGTATATACATCATGGCTATGCCAGACAAAGGGATAATACACATCCCAGAAAGGAAAAGTGTAAGATTTTGTGACACCAGTTAGAATGGCACACAATTTAAAACACATGAACTGCTGATTTCTGGAATTTTATATTTAATATTTTCAGACCTCTGGCGACCAACAGTAAATGAAACCACATGAGTCAGTACAGTAATCTCCTTTTTACAGAAAGAAAAACTGTACATAATGGAGGACTATGGAACTGACTCACACATAGTGAAGTTAAAATACATAGGAAAGTCAGTCCAATTACTTCCTACTATTATACACCCTATTTTAGGGCTGGCAAATTTACGCACAATCAAGAAAACTTGCCTGATACAATCAGCTGAGAATAATAATGTTTTTTATACTACATACTAACCAGCTAGCCATATTAAGGTATCTGCTTGTACTATACTGGACATCCTACATTTTGTAAGGCACTTACTGTGAGTTTACTTTTTAAAAATTAATTCTCAAAAGAGATTGAAATTCTCAAAAATGATAAGTATATCTACTTGAACTCGGTAAAGGTAATAAAACAATGCTATCTGCAAAACAACATCTTCCATTTCAGAAATGACTACTGTAACAAGTCAGGTAGATATTTCTTGGGATTACCTTTGTTCTGGGCTTCCTGATCTATAAATTAAATTCCTCTGAATTTAAAGCCTACTGAATTATCCTAATAAAGTTATAAAGTTTTAAATTTAATTACAAGTGTCCATTGTATGGAATCATTTTTAAAAAATAAGTTACCTCGGGCTGGGGTTTTAGCTCAGTGGTTTCGCCGCCTGCTGCGCAAGCGCAAGGACCCGAGTTCGATCCCCGGTACCAAAAAAAAAAAAAAAAGTTACCTCTACTTAATTTACAAGAACCCTAGAATATATAATAAAAGTATTAGTTTGTAGTAGACATACTAAATGAAAATATTTTCAGATAATTTATTTGGATGGTAAAATATACTGGAGGTATTAAGTTTAATGTGAGTAGAACAATTTAATTTTGCCAGCCAAATAAAAAATTTAGAGGGAAATACACTATAATCACAAAGTCTCAAGAAGAAATGCTTCCATCACACATTACAGAGGGGGTTGAAAGCACCAATCAAACACAAACTGGGAACAGGAAGTTACTATTTTTTTTTTTTTTTGGTACTGGGGATCAAACTCGGGACCTTGTGCTTGTGAGGCAGGTGGCAGAACCACTGAGCTAAATCCCCGGCTCGGGAACAGGAAGTTAATGTACTAGAAGGCATAAGACAACCTGTCTCTTGGCTAGCATTCATGAGGTAAACAAACAAAAAGAGCAAATGGACAATTGTCTCTCTAGCCAAGAGCTTTAGTGCTATTATAACCTCAGCCTTATTTTGGTTTTAGTTTTCTAAGTTGCTCAGGCTGCCTTTGGACTTGTGATCCTCCTTCCAACCCTACCCCCAAGCTGCGAGTACAGGTGGTGTGATACATCACCCAGCCAACATTTGCTCTTACAGAAGAAATGGGTATCACTATAAAAACTGAAGCCACCCAATGGCTAGACCTAAAATTTGGTACTAAAATAGTCTCTAGAATAAGGGAAATGAAAAATATCCCAAACTAAGTATGTCTATGCTAATTATACTGAAAGTACACATTCTATGCAAATAGTAACTTGGAAAACTAAAGGTATGATAAAAGAGGAAGCCTAATAGTCACCTTTGTGAAAAATGTTCTCACTTGTAAATAAGCAATCTGACCTAGATAATGTTCATGATACCTCCCAGCTGTAAAATGCTCTGATCATCAACTTCTTAAATCCCAACTCAGCCAAGCATCAAAGGCCCACCTTTTCTGTGCCTTGCTTGGAGCCATTCTGGACCAGCCTGCAAAGCAGGTCTTCTGAGGCCCAAATCCTCTGGATGTGTATGCTCTGGTGGGCAGCCATAAAACACAATCCTTCTTGAGTGCTGCTGGATATGGTGTGCTGGTATTCTGGGGGAGATTTTTACATCTATATTCACAGGGATATGCGTCTGCAGGCTTCTTGTTATATCATTGTCTCATTTTGACCAACATTCTCTGGATATATTTGAATACTGGGATTTTAATGCAGAAAGCACAGCTTGAAATGGAGCAAGTGCATCTAAAGAGGTGGCATGGTACTCAACAAACCTGGCAGACTCACTGCAAGACTTGTTTCCCGCAGTTTCAGGAGCTAAGGACTGTCAGCAGGCTCCTGCACCACAGCCTGCTACATGAATAGAGACAGTGCAGATGCTCTGCTGAACCTGTAAATGATGCCCAGGGTCCTTCCCTCCAGCTTCCAGGCTGATGAAGATGCAAGGTGTTCTTTCCACTGGCTCGGCCTTCACCATACTGGAGCCTTGTTAATGTGGGTTAACAGATGCATTGCCACATGCCCTGTGTGTCAGAGGGACTGAAACATGGGTGTGACCTACTGAAATCCACTGATGTGACTGTGCTTAAACCGAACTTCCTTATTTTCAAGCCTGACTCCCCCCGCCTTTGCTCATCCTGTGGCCTACATGCTTAGATCAATAAAATAAGATGATGCCCACCAGAAATGGATAACTCTAGGACATGCGCAGTAACTGTTTTAAATTACTACAATCTAAAAAACAAATGAGATCCAAAAAAAGCTCATGTTAAGAAACATTGCATTACTACTAGAACAAGGTACAAGGCACAGGAGAAAAGAAGAAAAACCACCCACACACTCAACCTCTCCAAGAATTGCTCAAGCATGTTATTGGGTTAACGTCACCTGAAGTGGGCCCATGAGGTGCCACCCACACAGCAAACCAAACTAAGCCTTTCCAGGAAGGAAACTCTGTAGCATGTAACAAAACATTTTGGTTTTAGGAACTCATTCAGTGGACACCGCCCCCGCCCACAAAGACACTCATGTTTGACTTTCAGTGCGTGTTTTTCATATGATGAAAGAGCAAAATGAAAATAATTGTTCAAGAAATTGCATTATGGAGTAACATCAACTGCTAGATGTTTGTGACAGCATAATAAATCCTGAGTGATGTAATCGCATGTGAAAAAAATACACCCAAACATACATCTACTCGTCTCTTTACAGATACACACAGTATTAATACAAACTACGTAAGATTATGCAGAAAAAACAAAGAGAACAGGAGTGCTTGAGGTATGTGGCCAGAATGGAATAATTACCTAATTTTTAACCTTTTCCTAACATTTTAAATTTAAAAACAAAAGCACCAGAGAGCTCTCATAACTGGGAGGCTTTCTTTATCATACTCTGCTGATGTCTGCCCTAGTCATCTGGCTGAAGCTGGAACCCTGTCACGATTTTCTTATAATTCACTGTCTAAAGAGAGGCAAGACTGTAGGTGGAAGATGAAGAGCCTGGGCCTGAGATTCACATCTGTAAGGATTTCCATATGGGGCATCTTACCCTATTTGGTCTGTTACAGCAAAATAACCAAACTGGGAGTTTTCAACCCAGGAATTTGTATCTCACAGCTCAGGATCACGGCACTGGCAGTCTCAGTGACTGGTGGGGGCTGTTCTCCTTGGTGGTGTCTTTCACCATGCCCTCACAGGGTGGAGGAAAGGTACTGGCTCGCTCTGGTCTCCTTCAAAAAGGCACTCGTCTCATTCACAAGGACAGAACCCTTGTGCCCGAATAACCTCCCAAGTTCACCACCCAGCATTCTCATCTGTCTGCTTAGGTTTTCATATGCATTTAAACCACATCAGGGGTTATCTGTTTACCTGTCCGATGACGTCCTATTACATAGATCTTCAAGTCACATATTGCAGACAGCTATATAACAGTCATAATATTAAAGGCAAAACACACTAAATTTCAGTTGCAAAATGAATTAATTTAAACTTGCTGCTTATGTGTTCTGATTAACACTGTATCTGTGTAGGATCATCAATTATAACACAGGTACCACACGTGGGGATATTGATAGTGAAGGAGGCATTGGTTGTGCAGGGGTAGGGGGTATATGTGAAATCTTTGTACTTTCTGTTCAATTTTGCTGTGAATCTAAAGCTGCATTTTTAAAAAAAGTCTATTAAATTTCTTTTCTACAAAGGTACTAAATATTGAAGAGAGCCTTGAAATTCATCTCTCCGTCAACAAAAGAAGATGACAATCTGTACAGACTTGAATTTTTAAGTACTGCAATTGGCACACAAGGACTATGTCGACATTGCAATGGAGGGTGCAGATCTACAGTGGATCACAGGGAAACTTGTACCTGCTCTGTCCCCTACACTCAGGCTCCAGATAGTTCCGCCACCTGCTGGGCACCACAGGCTATTACAAGGCTCTCTCCGCACAGACGGAAGAGAAGGCAGCGCAGCAGCTCAAGTTTAGCCAAGACAGGAGAGAGGCAACCGTCACTGTGAAAATATCCACGCAACAGGGTTTCAAAGCCATTTTGAATAGTCAAGAATATACTTTTAAAAAATAAGCTCATAAAAAAGAAGAAAAAAGTATGTTTCTATCTTTCCACATATCTGTGGTCTTGACAACTTCTAAACTGGCCCACACAGATGCACTTGCCCAGAGCACAGTGATTAGCCCACAGGGCTGCAAAAGCTGAATTTCTCACCTACTCATTCCCTATCAATTGTCAAGCCTAGGACTGAGCTTCTGTACTATTCCTTCCTCATCTTTAAGGAAACAAAACCCAGTACCCCTATACTCATGCACTCACAATCTAGATACTGTGAGGTTCCTAGGCAGTTAACTGACCTGCGATGGTATGTGCATACAGCCGGCTGCCAAAAGTGAAGACATGCAGCTCATACAGTTTGGCAATCTTCTCTAAAAAGTCCTTGCAGTGAGGACGCAGGCGGGTGTGCAGCATCGGCTCACCCCGGCCCAGCTGGAAGTGAAAGATGCCCTGCAAAGAATAGGGAATGATGGTGAGAAGAGAAGGTCCTGGGGAGCACTGCCCAGGTAGCACCTGAGACCTGTGAGTCCACAGCAGAAGTCTAGTGATGCGCATGGAACCCTCATAGAAGCCAGTCTATAGTATCTGATACCCACCAAGCAAAAAGTTTTCCACATACACTCTATGAGAAATGCATGAATGCCTCTGATGACTGACAATGTTAACTACCCATGTAATAATGATAATCACCTACAGCAGCTATTAAGATGACTTCCCCCTATAGCTACAGTAACTAGGCATGATTACTACCTGCTATAGCTGCCTATCCTAACTACTACTGATAAATGTAGTAACTGTCCATATAACTTACCACTATACTTACAACAACCCCGAGAGCTATGGCAACTACGTAAATACCTAAGCTAACTACTCATGATAACAACAACCTATAACTACCAATGTTAACTACCCATGCTCATGAAAAGCACCTACAATAACTACTTATAGCTACCCTTCATAACTATAATAGCTACTCATGATAACTACCCACTATAACTATCTACAACTACCCCCTTAAAACTATAATAACTATGCTACTGACTACCTGTCAAAGAGCAAAACAGATGGCTTGAAATAGATTTCCTCATAATGTGTTAATGGTGATACTTGAGCTGCTGATGAAGATAAACCACACTTTCCGGTGACTTTAAGACAGCTTTATAAGCTTATAAATACAACACATAAACTGAAATAATATTCTAGATTATCTCTTGCAGGCAGATAAAATTAGTAATACCAATGAGCTCACATGATTAATGTGTAAACAAGTCTCCTTTCTTTAGGGAGCTAAACTATGATTCGATTAATCTTGCTTATCATCTTCTTGGTAAAAATATTTACTTTTAACAACTTAAAAAGGTAAACTACCTAGGGCCAAGTAAATTTTACTTAATCACACTTTTAATTAATCACACTGCTAGTGGTAAAGCTATCTGGTTAAAGATTAAGGCCTGTGAAATTTAAGTAACAGCTCTCACTCTCAACAGGAAAGTCCAACAGTAATAATGTAAGCTTTAAAAATGCAAGCCTGAGCAATTAAATGGTCCTTCCCCATGTGGCCAGCTGGTGTCCCAGCTTCAGGAACTGAGCTCTCACTGGACACCCTGAACCTTGTAATTCTGCTCTCAGTGGTCAGCACAAGCCACGGGCACAGAAGTAAAGTGGAGTCCACCTTGGAAACTACTGGTATGAGTGGAGGACTGCTCATTCCTAAACCATTCCATACAGAGGGAACATTATCTTCTGGATCTACCCTCTCCCCCAAGTGAGAACTAGTTCAAACTGTCTTACAAGGTTAACTTTAAGTGCCCAACTTCAAAGTTACAACATAAAAAATACCTATGGCATCACATGCTGGTATATACACGTGCAAAGTGTGTGTCTTCATCAAAACATTTAGTACAGAGAGTAGTTGGTATGAATGAAATATCTGAAAATATTTCATAACTACTTACACTGCACAAAATATAGCTTATTTCTGGGTAAATCCCATGATATACAAAGTAACTAAACAATACAAGATTCATTGTGGGAATGGAATTCTAGCCATAAACTCAAGCTCAATCTCCAGAGAAGAACCCTAAAAACTGAAGAACACCTGGTCTATTTATCAAGCCATTAACTTGTTTTTAACAAACCTCTCTATGGTACGATGACGTCCCTGGCAGTTTAGTGGTAAGGGACCCTTGCTCTGTGATGGCCCCTCCACTGGGCAGTGTGGTTCGTCTTCTAATGTCTTCCTGACTCTATACCTGGCCATAGCAAGGCTCAGTCCTCTTTTCTGTCAGAGAACACCTTCAGGGTAGTTTTAACACCTTTGCATTCTAAGAACTCAAGACCTAAAGTAAGAGCTTGTATGTTATCTGTTCAACAGCTAACATTTTAAAAATGTGGTAACACTGGCGGTGGCATACGCAATATAGGCCTACAATACAGAACTGCTTGTAAGAGGCATCGCAATCCTTTTGCTCGACTTCTTGGCTCTACTCCTACGAAGCAACTGGACTACGGGAAAGTTTTACCTGCACTCACATGGGGTTCCACCTTTGACCCTTTCTATCGCATCCTATTTCCCTGGAGAGCTGCTACCCAGAGACTCTCACTGTGGTCTCCAGCCCAGGTTCTCTTTAGCAAAGACCCAAGTATCCTGACCCAGATGCCCAGAGATACAAAGCACCCCAGACCAACACATTCCCTCAAGACTGCTCCTCCAATGACAACCCTCACGCAACCACTCTACTGTGCTCAGAGGTCTCTAAATCTTTACTCTCCAGCTGGGCTTGCAAACAAACCCTCTCCATATTACTGTTACACCCCTGGCAAATGCTAACAGTGACAGCACATTTACGCTGCCACCTGGAGTGGCCCAGATGCAGTGGCTATCTGTCCTAAGGTTGTATGTATGACTGAGCAGTCTGCTCCCCAAATACAGACAGACCTATGGGAACCAATTTTAAAAACAAGATAATGCCCTTTCAAATTGAATGACGAACCGTGGGGTGTTTGGGAGAGCCACCTTGGGTATGGCTGGCAAAACTCACTTTGTTTGACATCTGTGGACAGTGCTGCTCTGTTGTGTGGATTAGAGTCTGGTCCAAATCAACCATGAGGACTAGTTTTCTGTTTCGATGTAGTCGTTGCTGATCTTCCTTTCCAAGTTTTTCAGCTTGCTGCAGTTAAAAATAAAAATGACAAAGTACATACATTTAGACCCAGAGTAAAATCCAATTTCACTAAGAGAGCAGAAGGACACTGACACGTTCCTAACCAAGTCCTCACACGCCCGGGATCTCACTGTGGCTGACAACACATTACTTGAGGTCCACAGCTGGCTATAACTGGGCCTCTCCTACTGACCTAGGCTGCACGCTGACCGACAGCCAGTTCTGTCTGGTCCATATTGCGTACGAAGTCTGGGTTGTGATGATAATTTTGCTATTTAAAAGTGCAAACTAGTGAAAAGATGGGGGAAGATGAAGTAGTTTTCTCTATAAAAATTCAGTTGACTCTGTGGAGCACCTGAAAAACTTAAGCTTCAAAATTAACAAAGAAAACAAGCTCAGCTAAGAGGAGGGTGAACAACCATAAACCAATGGCTGGGCTGGCAGAGGTCAACAACCACCCCAGGCTTGGTCTCCCTAGGCTCAGCCCTGTCATTTCACTTTGAAGAATTCAGGTGGGTTTGAGACAGTGCAACAGGGTCACCTACACTTGAGGCTCAAGGCAGGACTCTCCTCAGAGAAAAGGCTTTGGCTTGACCTAACTCAGTAAAACACACCAGGGTGAGCATCCCATTAAGTTCCTCAACTTAACTAGCATTTAGTTATCCACAGACAAATTTCTGGTCTGGATTAGGTTAGACAGGAGAACTTCTGCCATATTCCTGAAAGGAAGTATGCAGAAAGCCTAACACTTCTGCCACAGTAGAAGGAATGGAAAACATTCTTCTCTTTTTAACTGTGAACATTCTGGCTTTGATTACATGCACACATATTTATATTTGTTTAAAGTTCACTACCAGCAGATTTTGGTGCCAGCCAAAGCACTAACCTCTGTAAACTTTTCTGGGGCTTTGCATCCTGGTCCTAATCCACCCTATTTTCCATCACATGTTATTAAAAGCAACATTTGCCCAAAAAATAAAAAATAAAATAAAGTTCAGTAATTCAGAAAAACCAGAAGAATGTATCTGGTATTCTGTCTTTCCTACAAAAAAACAGACTAGTTATTATAGATTATTTAAAAGCACAAATCTAATAAAACTAACACTGAAAAATGTTTTCCCTACTTATAAAATACAACCTTGAAGGTTATGAAACTGTTACAGTACCTGGTCCTTAGGTGGTGGGCACACCACAGACACACAAACCTTACCCTATGGAAATGTGAGCTGTGAGGTTAACTCCTGAAATACCAAAGTATTTGCTTAACAGCACTCAAGTAGATGCTTAAAAGAGCACTCAAGTTCTATTTTCTAGGTGGCCTTCTACCTCTCAATTCTGCACACAGGACCTGCTGCTCCACTGCTCAGGGTCAGCAGCACTACAGATGTCACCTTGGAGCCTGTGTTCACTTGCTCTCCACGGCAGCCTGAGCCATGGCTTCCCACCAGCTACAATGACAATGGATGCTGCTGGGCAGCCTAAGAGCACCATTATGCTCACTTCTTCCCTGGTCCCCAACGTCTCTGCTCTCCCTGCCAGCCTGTCCTGCACATACCCTTGGTGCACCACTGCCTCCACAGCGCTCTGTGCCCAGATGTCTACCACTGTCCCTCCAGCTAGAATCTGGCTCGAGGAAACATAGGCTGAGCTGGTGGGTGTGTTACAGTACCAGGAGGGCTCCCTCCACACAAGTGGGGCAGCTGCAGAGCCTCTACAGGTGCTCATGCAGGCAGACTTGTTTGTGAAGGAAAAGTAAAAACAGAACCAGTGCAGCCTTCCACTTCTCAGGGGGGCAACAGCTGGTACCCACCAGATGAGAGATGCTTCGGGAACGACAACTACAGATGGCTGTCCCACAGTCCCCTACACAGCCCAGTGTCCCCGTGCCTACTCACCTCAGAGCTCACCATTAACTCTGGCACACTGTGGACCATGGACACAGTCGCTGTGGACAGCGGCATCTGCTGCTTCCCATTCTTACTCTGCAGTCTTTGAATGCAAGAAGATCAGATAAAAAGACAGCTGCACTTGATAAACTGTACACAGGAGGCATGTGTTACTGTGAGGAACAGGATTTCAACCTACACTATAGCTGACACACTGCTATCTTAGCACGGAACTCTATTCCATGGGCAGCCATGGGAATTTCCTCCAGCCTAAAGACTGGGAAATATGAAAAACTGAGCTCATGGTCACTCTCATAGTCAAGGTGCACAGAAGGGGCACAGGGTTAGACTTGCAGTCGTGGTCAGTCATACTCAAAATTCTCCATGGAAATAAACTGAAAAGTCACATGGAAACATAAAGGGGCCTTAACATGAAAACACACACACAAAGTCCAGAGACAGTCACCCATACTGCTAGACCGACAGAGCAGAGAAACGGTGTGAGTGCTCAGCTGGCCTAGAGTGTGGGAAAGGAGGGCTGAGCGGTTAGGCACTCCACCTCCAGAAGAGGTGCTCCAGGGAGTCACTGTGGTTCCCCTCCAGAATAAGAACAAACCACAAGTACCTTCCAGCATTCTCCTGTCATGCCCCAAAAGAGCACTCAGCAGAAGGCAGGGCTTCAGAAATGGAAGACTAAAGACAGAAAGCACTACTCCTCGGGAAACAGTCTGACTCGAACGCAGGCAGGGAAGGAAGGGTATCTGCCTGATGAGACAAGAGGCTGCAGGGCCCTCATGGAACCCCACACTGCTTCCCATAACCCACCCACATCACTCTGTGAGGGCGCTGTGCCCTGCTCTCCAAAGGCACTCACTGGGTTAAGTCCTGGCCACATTCAGCACAAAGGCCCTTCATCACAACTGGGTGGCTACATCCTTCCAATCTCACCAGAAGGGCTCTGCAAAATACAAGGAGAAACAAGTACAAATCAGCAAAGGGCAGGAATTTACAATCTCTTAGGTACATCACACAGAATGAGCAAGGGCAGATGAGTGAGAATGAAGCCCAGAGTCTTTGAACCAGTTCTCCTGACTTTTGCACAGCTCTAAACCTGTTCCCTCAGTCTACCTGGGGTGTATTTATTTGCTTGACTATAAAATGAAGAATTTCTCACCTGCAAAATGACTTCCTGCTGTACATAGAGGGTGGAAAAAAACTAAGGATGTCTAAAATACAATAAATACATATATGTTTCTTTTACACTTCTGGTAAAGACCTTATAAAAATTAAAGCTTTGGGGCCGGGGATTTAGCTCAGTGGTTCCGCCACCTGCCTTGCAAGCGCAAGGATCTGAGTTCGATCCCTGGTATCAAACAAACACTCCCCAAAAACTAAGGCTTTGTTCACTAATACAGTACAGAACAAATCGGTATAATTCCAAAAATGGTAAATTGTTGTTTCCTCCCATACAGGATTCCCAGTACAGATTGGCTTATCTAATTTTTCTGATAAAGTTATTATGCTCTTTTTTTATAGTTATCCAGAATCCTGTTTTACTTTTAATGACTTTAAAAATTTTTATTAGTATATGTTTGCAGTACATGGTTACATTCTGTGTTTGGATTTCGTATATGAACATAACACATCTCAATTCCTCTTTGCATCCTCTTCCTTTCCTCCCCTCCCCCACTGGTTTCCCCTCCCTTCACCTTTTTTTAATTTTTCTGGAACCTGGGATCAAACTCAGGACCTTGCGCTTGTGAGGCAGGCATGGCCCCACTGAGCTAAATCCCCGGCCCCTCCCTTCATCTCTTGATCTCCTTCCAATTTGAGAATGATCTATCTCCCTATTTCCTACTATCTTTTATTTTGCTCTTTCTAATTTGGGTTTCTCATGTAAGAGAAATCATGTGATATTTAAGCTTACATGTCTGACTTATTTCACTAACATTACTGTCACAAAGTACATACATTTTCCTACGAATGACTCAGGTTTATCTTTCTTTATGGCACAGTAATACTTCATTGTGTGTAAACACATTTTCTTTATCCATTCATCTATTGATGGATATAGAGGCTGCTTCTAAGATTCAGCTATTATGAGTTGTGCTACTATAAACACAGGTATGCATATATCACTGTAATATGATGTCTTCAACTCTTTTGGGAAGATACTTAGAAGGGGGATAGCTGGGTCAAATGGAATTTCTAGTTTTAGTTTTTTGAGGAATCTCCATATTGATTGTACTAGTTTATATTCCCATCAACAGTGTAGAAAGGGTCCTTTTTCCCTGTAGCCTCACCAGCATTTATTATGTGATTTCTTGATGACAGCCATTCTTTCTGGGGTAAGATGGAATCTTAATGTTGTTTTAACTTACATTTCTCTAATGGCCAGTGATGCTGAGCATTTTTTCATGTATTTACTGGTTATTTGTATTTCTGTGAAGTGTCCATTCATTTCACTTGTCCATTTTTTGATCGGGTCTTTTATTTTTTTTGGGGGGGGGTCTAGTTGTTTTGAATTCTTTGTAGCTTCTAGATTTTTTTTTTTTTTGTGTGTACCAGGGATTGAACTCGGGTCCTTGCGCTTGCACAGCAGGCAGTGAAACCACTGAGCTAAATGTATCTTCTAGATATTAATTCTCTGAATAATAGTTGGCAAAATTTTTTTCCCATTCTGTAGGTTGTCTTTTCACTCTGTTGGTTGTTTCTTTTGCTGTGCAGAAGCTTTTTAATGTGACATGATCCCATTTGTTGAGTTTCAATACTATTCCCTGTGCCACTGGGGTTCTGTTCAGAAAGGCCTTGTCTATGCCTATGCCTTCAAGAATTTTACCTATTTTATCTTCCAGCAGGTTGTTTCTATTTTAATATTTAATGCTTTGATCTTTTTTTATTTTAGTTTAGTACAGGGTGAGAGATGTAGGTCTAGAGTCAATCCTCTACACGTGGACTGCCAGTTTTCCCAGCATCATTTAATAAAAAGGCTATTTTTCCTCCAGAGTATGTTTTTGGACCCTTTGTCAAAGATCAAATAGTTGAATGTACATCGGGTTGTTTCTATATCCTTTATTCTGTTTCATTGATCCTCACATCTGTTTCTGTGCCAGTAGCATGCTGTTTTTATCACTGTAGGTTTGTAATATAGCTTCAAATCTGGGATTATGACACCTCCTGCTTTGCTTGTTCCCTAGTACTGTAATATTCTTACTTTTTATATGAACACAAAAACTAGTCTTCTTCATATCCAAACCTTGGTCATCTGGCAGCAGTTTAGGAAAGAGGGATTACCATGGATAAATCTCAAAGCTGTAATGGAGCAGTGGCTTACATTCAGAGCATCAGGCAGTCAGTGCCTCCCCAGGGCCTTGGGCCTGCTGGTCTAGCAAAGACCCTATGACACAGTACTTTGCAACAAGAGGTTAAAGCAATGTCTCCAGAGCCATGGCTGCTTTCCAAAAACCAGTGCATCCTTGCCCTGCTCTGCCCACTCAAGAGCACTCTGCTTCTCACATTTAGCCCATCCCCTAGCCATGCCCGCTGCTGAAGTGGGTCTGACCTATTGTACGGCAGACCAGAGAATTCTGGTGGGACCAGTGCCCATCTAGCCTCCAGCACACTGCTCACTTGAGGACAGAAAGGTACATGTCCATCTGGGCAGACTCAGATGACAAACACGGTACCACAAACGGGAAGAAGAGAACAAGACAAAAGTCAGGCCACAGCGTGACTTTGCAAGAACAACTGTGGTGCACATACCCCCACCCCTGCCCCTCACTACCAGAACTTGAAGACCAAGGGCCAAGAAGCACAGCTCCCATGTCCAGCCTCCCTGTGGATGCTCCCCAGTGTCTGGTCTCTCTGTAATGGGGGCGGGGCATGCACTGGGCTGGGGGAAGCTCAAGCTGCAGCAAGAGGGACATATGGCCATTCTGCAGCATGGATGGGAACAGAAGGACACACTTTCCTACAAGGGAACAAAACTGGTGTGTGAGGATCCGCTGTGGGCAGGGAAGGAGAGCTGGGTGGGACTGCAGGGCTGAGGGAAGATTAAAGACTTTGCTAAGAAAGAGGGAGGCTGCTGGGGTGGAAGAGATGGGGCTTTAGTTGCACTCTATAAAATAGGCTCTATGTCCTCTAGTCTGTGGTTCTCACTCCAGTCCTGCCCCATGTAGTCTTGTACCTCTGCTACTACTGCCATCTTGGATCCACAGCATTCACATTCCCAGGTGCTGTGAGAAATGGTGTCATGCTTCCAGACACCTCCCAACAAGCCACTCAGAGAGGGCGCTCAGCCACAATCCTAGGCCGGGAGATTGGCAGGCCCAGAACTGGTGGGATGGAGCAAAAAGGTCATTTAAAGATCATTTCACTAAAAGAGCTCTGCCCAGAACGAAATATTCTGTAAATACACAATGCTCAGAAACATGAAAACCCATGTATAGGCTATGAGAATCTAAAATTTATGCATTTTATTTATTTTGGAAGGCAGCTGTGGTTTTGGAGACATTGCTTTAACTTCTTGTTGCAAGGTGCTATGCCATGAGGTTTTTGCTAGAGCAGCAGGGCCAAGGCCCTGGGGAGGCAGTGACTTCCTGGTCTTCTGAATGTAAGGCACTGTTCCATTTTTACAGACTTGAGATTTATCCATGATAATCCTTCCTTCCTAACTGCTGCCAGGTGACCAAGGTTTAGACATGAAGAAAACTAGTTTTTGTGTTCATATTTAAAAAATTGTTTAAATAAATTTTTTAACCATTAGTTTACAGACATCATGGTAATGATAATTTGTTTGGGAAATGTATTAAGAGTTTTTTTTTTATTATTTAAACATTTTATTTATTTATTTGGGGGGGGGTACTGGGCATGGAACTCGGGACCTTGCACTTGCGAGGCAGGCGCCGGAACCACTGAGCTAAATCCCCGGCCCCTGTATTAAGAGTTTTTAAGGTGACAAAAATGCTTTCTTTAATCTTATCAAAAGACTTTAAAATTAATGATTACAGTTCTGCAATTCATCTGCCCAAACGATCAGACTTAACACAAAACAAAAACTCAAGCAAAGGGTCAGAGTCAGATTCTGAATAGAACAAAGACACACTTTAAAAATAAAACACAGAAATCAGTTAAGGGCACCTGAAGCCACTTGTTCCAAAACATAGCACTATTTAATTAGACTGGCCACAACAATGAAGATGCTGGAGTGGGCATCAGCCTCACGGAACTCTGAATCATGTGTCACCTCCAACACCTCACCTTCCAGGGTCAGTGCTAACTGGATACAAAAAAAAAAAAAAAAGGAAACTATAGGGCCTATTTTGTAGGAATCATGATTAAAACTCTTGACACACTGGAATGACCTCCCTTGATGAAGCTATGTCTGTGAAAAGCCACAGCGCCAGTGCCAAACACCAAGATGAAGGTCTGGAAGCTCCCCCAAATCAGCAACGAGGCTCTCAACACCCTTGCTCACCTAGAGGCCACCCAGGGAGATGGAGAGAAAAAACAAGAATGCCCCTTTGTGCAGAAGACCGGATTGTCCCCTAGAAAACCCAAAGAGCCCACAAGACCAAATGGACAAGCTCAGCAAGGATGTAAGATACAAAATTAAAACACGGTATTAATGACCTTCCTATATTCCTGTAGAAGACAAAATTTAAACACGTTATTATGTATTGTTATATAATACACAATATACCGAATTTATGCAGACTACACAAAACACTGATCCAAGAAATCAAAGGTCTAATTAAGAGGAGCGATATTGTTCATGGATTAGAACACACAACACAATGAAAGATATGAGTTCTCCCAAACTGATTATAAGCCAGTTCCCATAAAAGTCCCAGCAAGGCTTCTATGAAGGCACAGACAAACTCACTCTCAAATTGATGCCAAAGGTGCTGTTCTTTGAATAGCTGAAACCACCTTGAAAATGAACAGAACAAGAGGAAT